TAAAAGAATAAAAATGCAGTATTTTTATACTATCTATTGCGATGCATTTTAATTCTATTTCTACTCTTATTTTTGTCAATTGAAATTTGCATTATTTCGGGCAAGTATCATTAATACACACTAATTTTCAAATTTTAAAATGGATAACATAGCTATTACAGTTACAAGTCATTCTTGTACCTCGTTATGGAATAAAACAGACAATGTTACGATCTAACGAAAATCATGAATAAGCATAAATGACTCACCGAAATCATTTACATAATTCACCGGCAAAATGCCCGGACAATCGAATCTAACATTCAGCCTAGCGGCGGCTGGCTTTTATAATAACCAAATTAATTTAATTTAGCAATGCTATTCTATTAGGAGTGATCAACAAAGTTTAAATAGGATTTTATCAGTTAGTGGGATTATCACCAGGATTTATGTATAATCAAGAAGGTGATTGGACTTTAAAGTCTCTAATATTGTCTTTATAAATTCCCTTTTGTGATTCTAATCCATCAAGAAATCTTTGACGTGCTGTTATTAAAATCTAATAATATATTATCTGATATGAGAAATAAACACATTTATCTAAAAACATTATTAATTTTATTCGCTTTTATTTTACAAAATGGTTCAATGGTTAGAGCACAACTCGAACCTTTTGCAAAACTTTGGGGAGTAGAAAATGAAAAAGTACCAGAGCTATTAGACAGAGAGGCAAAATTAATTAAGATAGACGGTAAATTACAACCGTTATTAAATAATTCATATTTTGGAGGAACATATATAGATGTAAAAGCAAATAAAATAAACATCAATACTGTAGACCAATCTAAGGTTAAAGAAGTGAGAAATTCTTTACAAATGAAGGAATATAAAAATTATTTAAGATTTAAAAAAGCAACCAACTCCTTGTTTCAATTAAATTTCACATTCGTCCAAATAGTTAAAAATTTAATATAATTAATAGCTCAAATAGTATGAACTTGAAGCTAATAATGTTGTTATATATTTAAAAGATAAGAATGATCCAAAGAACAAGGAGTTTATTAAGTGTTAAAATTTTCAACCCGAAAATAGTCTATTTATCTAAAAAAGAAAAGGAAAAGTGGTATTAAATTCATTCAATCCATCTACTTTAGTGGAAAAGAGACAACAAATCAATCCAATGGATTTGGTGGAGATCGAATTTTCACTTTGTATGAAGAGTTGTAGTGCAGGTTTATGGATGAAAGATCGATTTCGTCAAGATTTTCTATTAACCGCAGGACATTGTGCCACCCCTATCATGATACTCATCAAGATTGTTTTATCGTTATTATGGAAATTTAACTGTACCTTTTGTATATGCAGTAGGTATTAGGGATCTGCAACCCTGGCTCGTGCATGCCCAACAAAAATTCAGGCATTGCCATGGGCATGAAAGCTTCGGCATGGGCATAGACACTGGTACAAAAATTTGGTATAGGCATTGGCACAGGTACAAAATTTGGCATAGGCATGCCACAGGTATAAAAACTTGGCATGGGCATGGGTATAGGCATAAAAATTTAGTATTTTATTAATTAATTGTATGTTTGGTACTATCTAGCACTTGTGCCTGGCATCTTGTTGGCACCTTTTTGTCTGGCATTAGGGATGTTATTGGCTTGGATAGCTCAGCTTAGCTTAAAGAAATCATAGCCAAGCTATAGCTAAATCATGGTTCAAGCTATTGGCTACAATTAAAACTAAAACCAATAATTATTTTTTTTAACTTTAAGTAATTTTGAATATTGGCTTAAGCTATAGCTTTAGACTATTGGCTTGACTTGAGTTTAGCTTAGCTTCAAATTGTAGCTAAAGCTAGCTTCAAGTAAAGCCAATAACATCCAGTACCTGGTATTTGTATCTATGTCTATAAAAATGTCTGTCATTTGTGCCCATGCCCATAATAATTTCTGGCACTTTGTGCCTATGGGTATAGATATAGCATGAGGCACTAGTGCCTGGCATAGTGCCAATTTGCCTGGCATGGGCATTTGCAGAACCCTAGTAGGTATACTTGCCACAGGTAAATATATGATAGTAATGCATATTGCGAGCCAATAAAAAAAGCTTTTGAATATGGTTACACTCTTGTTCATTATCCACACTAAGCAGGAACGCGGATGAGTCACGTGTTATTTTTCAGTTTATGTTAATTATTTGTCATTCGTAGATTAGAACACATACATCATTTTGCTATTAGAAATTATAATAACATGTAAAAATATTAAAAAGCATTCTAACCTTTTTCAATATGTTTGGTGATGTCACGATTTTATAAACCGTGAGGGATGAGAATAATTCAGTAATTGAGGCTAAGAAATATGGTTATTGGATAGATTCCGCATTATTATTTTATAGTATTTATCTAATATTTTTTATTTTATTTTTCTTTTTTTATTTATTACTATTTTTACCATTGTTTATTAAAAAGAGAAAAAACAAGTGTATTACTATTATTTCGATAATGAGATAAAGGGAAGCTAGGTTTGGAGAAGGCATTGCATGAGATATTGGGGACAAAAATAAGAGTAGAAATAGAATTAAAATGCATCGCAATAGATAGTATAAAAATACTGCATTTTTATTCTTTTA